GTGAGACCAGGTGTCCTGTGGGCAAGGCAGAGGAGTTCAGACCTAACTAAAAGTTAGGGGCAGAGACAGGCCTAGACCTGTAGTCCTAGCTCCCCACACTGACTCCTACAGGGCTTTGTCTCTGGCTGGTAGCCTGTCCAGGTCTGCCCTTTCCTAATCCAAACTTAGAGTGTATGGTGCCATTCTTGCTCCCTGGAGTCAGGCTGAGTTTACTCTGCCATCTTCATGGCCCCTCAGCCTGAGGCCCTTGTTTCCTTTGCGGGTGCTGGGTGCCGTTACCATAGCCCTGACCTCGACCCCTGCCAGAGTCCTCAGTCCTGCCAGTGAACTGGGGACCGTGGGCCAAGCCTTCCTGTCTCGCCCCTGCAGGAGTCTCTCTTCCCGGCCCGCGTGGTCTACGACCTCCTGTTCTTCTTCATTGTCATCATCATCGTGCTGAATCTCATCTTTGGGGTGATCATTGACACCTTCGCCGACCTGCGCAGCGAGAAGCAGAAGAAGGAGGAGATTCTCAAGACGACATGCTTCATCTGTGGTGAGGCCTGGTTCCTGCTTTTTGGAGGCCATGGCGGGCCTGAGTGACCTATAATGGGATGTCATCTGAGGGCAGTGGCAGCCTCAGTGTGGCCCTTCCTAGTGCCTGTGGCCACTGGGGAACCTTCCTGAATGACTCTTTGGTTCATCCCAGAACTAGGGAGAACACAGGCTGCCTGAGTTTGGAATAATAGATGGGAGTTGGGAGGGCCCTCAGAAACCATTCCTTCAACCTCTGGGTCTACAGAAGAGGTCCTGAAGCCCAGTGAGTGGCCTCAACCTCCTGATCTCAGTGCAGTGCTGTTCCCACCTCTGGTGTGAAGCACTAGTCCCCTTACCAGCCACCCTGGCGAAGGGGCAGGTGTCACCTGTAGGAGAAATCCCTCACCCAGCCACTCCTGCTTCCCCGAGGTACGAGTTCTGCCCTTAGCTCCCACAGTCCTTGGCTGCCGCTGCGGGCGGGCTACAGCCTCGGCAAGGCAGGATCTCTGAAGCTAAGTGGGGGGTGCTTTAAATATTATCAGTGGGCTGAATAGCCCTGAGTGGGCTGCCGGAAGTGCTCATCAGCCCTCTTAACATGAGGGGAATACGTGCACCACCACCCCCGCCACCGCAGCAATAGCCCCCTCCCACCAGGTGCCCCCCACCCCCGCCAAGGCTCTCCGAAGCGTGGCGGCTTCACTTTCGCCCTCTGCATCCTCAGGTCTGGAGAGGGACAAGTTTGATAACAAGACAGTGTCGTTTGAGGAGCACATCAAGCTCGAGCACAACATGTGGAACTATCTGTACTTCATCGTGCTGGTCCGTGTGAAGAACAAGACGGACTACACGGGCCCTGAGAGCTATGTGGCCCAGATGATCAAGGTGTGAGCAGGGGCTGTACGGTTCTGTGAGCAGCTCTCCCCAGGGGCCTAAACCATGTCATTCTGGAGTCAGCTGCTGCTGCACCAGAAGCCCTAGTGGGCAAGGTTTCTAGTCCCCAGGGCCTTGGAGAGGAGTGGCTACATCTGTCTGCATGACTGACCTCAGCGGCTTAGGGGAGGGGCACGGACAGCTGCAGACACTTGTTGAGGCCAGGAGGGGAGCAGCTGGAGCCAGCCCTCTGCTCCCAGGAGCCTTGCCAGCTGTCCACTGCTCTTCTGAGCCAGCTATGGTGTTGGGAAAAGCCCACGGCAGACCCGTAAGCCCAAAAGGGCATGTGTGGTGCCCCCAGGCCTGTGGGAGCAGGGGAGACCCTGCATGAGGCTGCTGCCCTGTGGGTTACTCGGGGGATCCTTTCCTAGCTCGGTGGGAGGAAGAGCAGCTTCCCCCAAAGTCTGGATGGCCCCAGGCTAAGGAGAAGCCTGGAAAAACTTAATATCAGACTTAGAAGGAATCAAATGTCATCTAGTCCATTTCCACAGTAATGAAGGGAGGGAAGTCAGTAAATAGTAATTAAAAAGGAGAGTTCGGTTTCTTTTAGACATATACTTTGAACTGATCTCAGGGTACAGGTGTAGCTGCTGGTCTGAGAAACTTCTAGGTGACTCCTTGCTTCCTGCTCTTCTGTCCTGGGAAATGGTGGCTTTGCCTCTCAGACAAGTCACTGCCAGCCTCCTCAGCAGAGCCTTCCTCATCCTCAATTTGCCATCTGCCTGACTCGAATCTTCCCGGGTGTGGGGCGTGCATCAGGGTGGGGCATGGGGCGAGGGAGGAAGGAAGGAAGGAAGGAGATTCAGGGCCTGAGTTCAGAGGCCTTGCCTTCCGCCTCTCATGGGGTGTTAGGAGAGTAAACAGATGGTGCTGATATCAGTGTGAGGTGGTCTAACGGAAGCTGGCCTGTCACAGAGCTGTGGCCCTTCACAAACACGAGGCTTCACTGCCAGCTCACCCTTGCCCAGGAGGACCCGGGTCAGCTCAGACTTTCCCATGACACATCCTGGCAAGGAGTCCTGTCTGGGTGTGGCAGCAACCTCCCCCACAGTACTGTGCTCCTAAATGAGGCCGTCCTTGCTGGGCCTAAGCCTGCTTACCCACCAGTGCTGTTTTTCAGAACAAGAACCTGGACTGGTTCCCCCGGATGCGGGCCATGTCCCTGGTGAGCAACGAGGGTGAGGGGGAGCAGAACGAGATCCGGCTCCTTCAGGACAAGCTCAACTCCACCATGAAGCTGGTGTCCCACCTCACTGTCCAGCTCAATGAGCTCAAGGAGCAGGTGTGTACGGTGCTGGGTGGCCCTGCCTGCCACATGTGCAGAAAGCTAGACTGGGGTCGGCAACCTCTGCCCATGTCCCTGAGACACCCTGGTACAGTTGTGTGGGGCTACCCCCTTGCTCATCTCCTTACTCCTGGCAGCTGCTAGTGAGTCCCTCAAGGGGGTCACTGGTGATGGGGGAGGTTTAAGGCTCCTTCCATTTCTCAAGCCCCTCCTTGCCCAGAGCCAGCTCCTCTCCACCTGGCAGTTACTAAATGAAGGGCGGCCCCTCTCTTAGGTGGGGTGGCTTCCCAGCTGCACATCGGGGGTTTGTGACAGGCTAATTGAGGACATGGGTGTGGGGGCTAGCATCCTCTTGGCACCCTGAGGTGCCCTGGCCTGCTGCCAGGACTGAGTGGCAGCTGGGCCTGTTGGGGGGGCGGTGCCCACAGAGAAGGGCGCCAGGTGGTCTGATGACCCGTTGGCATGTTTAACCCTAGATGACGGAGCAACGGAAACGCAGGCAACGTCTGGGCTTCGTGGATGTCCAGAACTGCATGAGCCGCTGAGGAGAGCCACCGAAGGCCACGAGGGATGCTCGTCACTGGAGAGCTAACTGGGAACAACACTGCCCGGAAGGGCTAGGTGCCCACCAGTTTCCAGCCCCCACTCTGCCAGACACCCCCAAACCAACCGACACTCTGACCAGCACTGGGGTTGGGGGCGGGTCTCAGAGCTAACAGTCCTGCCTAGAGCTCTTAAAGAGAATTTCACTGGGACTCAGTTTACCTTAATGCCTTAGATAAGTCCTGGAGACCTCTGCGTTTTAAAGCAATAACTGACATTCCTTTGTAGTCCTCCTTGTGGGTGATTAGGAATGGGGTCACCTCTTTATCTCCAAGCACTACATTCTGCTTGCTGCCTGCCTCTGGGGGAGGTGGCAGTAATGCTGTTACTAGTGATTTTAGGGCTTTGTTATTTAACTTATTCCAAGGGTGCTGTTCTCAGCCCTGCCCGCCCACCCGCCTATCTCCCTCCGTGCCTCATTTGTTGTGGAATTGTCTGTGCCCAGGCCACCCTGTCTGGCCACAGGTAGGCTGGCGACCCAAGGATAGAGGCCTTGTTCCTGGACCTGGCTCTTGCTGGGCAGTTGCAAGCCCGTGCCCATGCCCATGCCCAGGTGACATGGCTATGTGTGTTAGAGTGGCTGGTGTTTTTTTTGTTTTTGCTTGTTTCTTATTTTGGTGTAATGTTTTACAAATCCTTTGGCCTAAGGACTAACATGTTAATTGCCTTAAATAAAATAAATAGAAATCTAGTTAAAGGGATAATGTTTCCTGAATCCTCTGCCCCCTCCCCGCCAGGTGTGGGATTAATGAGGCACGTGGACAGGATGGAAATACAAACCATTCCCTACTGGCCCAGGCCTCTCCTCAGGCTCTAGAGAAATGCTGAGTGACATCCTGTCATGCAGCGATTCCTGACCAGGGGCCCTTGGATGGAACTGCATTTCAGTGAAATTGGTTTCTACTGTAATCCCATGTATTGTATTTTATGTATTTAAAAACATTCTGAGGGTAGGACACAAATAAGGTTAAGAACCCACTTCCTCCTCCTCCTCACCACTGAGGGGTGCTGTCCACCCTGCCCTGCCTCTGCTCTCGGCTCTACGCTAGACAGAAGAAAGCTCAAGTAGGGGCTGTGAACACTTACCAGTAGGAGCCCAGGCTCTGTGGAATAATAAGGTGACCCATATGCATGTCCCTAGCCATAGTGCCAACTGCAACCTGAGGACCTGCTTGGCCAGGCTTGTTTATGGCTTCACTTGGTCCCTTAGGCCAACTTGGAACATGCGTTTCTGCAAGGTCAGGGACAGGGGACAGAGCTACCTCCTCCTCCGAGTCAGTGGGACGGATGGCCAAGCAGGCTTTTCTACCTCTCTGCCCTACCTCCTCCCCGGTGCTTTCTGTTTGCAACAGGATGCCTTTTTCAATATTTACCACTATTTTTGGCTTCCTCCCAGGAGCTCCTACAACAAAAGGAGCCTGAGAATCTTGCCAGGAGATGCCAGACCCCTCCTGGTGAGGTGGGGCTCCTGCGCCCCGCGCAGGAAACACCTTGTCCAGACTCTCAGGCCCAGAGAGAGACGTTTCCTCTCCCCTGGAGACCTCCCTACCCCGGCCGAGGGCCCTGAAGACAGTTCAAACGGCATCCCTTCTCAGGCTGGAACTTTCTTTAGAAAAGGGGCTTCCTTTTGTGAAGGCCAGATGACAATCTCAAACCTTGAGGTCGGGGGGAAATCGAAGCAGTTTTATTTATGATGGCAACATACAAGACCCCACACTTATGTACGCGGGCGAAATAAGGCCTGAGCCCAGGCCTTATGCTTCTCCTCGGGACTCTTGGGGGCAAACTTCTCCTGAAGCTTCTTCCACATGCCTTTATTCATTACCTTAAACTCTTGCAAAGTGTCTGCAAAAGAGGAAAGACCAAAAAAAAAAAAAAAAAAAGAGAGAGAGAAACTGAAGTCTAAAACTTGATTACGCAGATTGGCCTCGCAGGCCTTCCTGATAAAAGCATACCTCATTTTACACACAGCGCGTTCTTGAAAAAGAGAAGTGTAAACTGATCCTTTGAAGAGCAAATCAAATAGGTAACATAAAAATAAAAACCACTGCTGATGTTTACTGAGCACTGTGTACACTGGGCCCCATGCGAAGTACACTGCATACCCACAGTGGTCTCGCTACAGTCTCCTCACCCGCAGCATCTACGCAGGGTGTGTTTCTCCTTGCCTCGCTCCACACAAGAGGGCGAAGAAAGAGCGCAAAGGAATGGCCCTGCCAGCGTCATATGCAGCCCACAGGCTTTATCTCAAAACTTGGCCTGCCCCACACAGACCTTACTATCCCCATTTTTCAGATGTGGAAACTGAGGCAGAGGGAGGTTAAGTAACTTGCTCAGGGTTGAAAAGCTAGGAGGTGGTGGAGCTGGGATTTGAACCTAGGCTGCATGGGTCCACCATATGCTGTGGAGTGGAGCAGGTATCAGCGAGGGCGACGACGGACCTGGGCTTGAATCCCTGCCCCATCATTTTCCCAATGAGTCACCTCTGGCAAGTGACTTAAGCCTCTGAGCCTCAGGTTCCTCATCTGTAAAATGGGGATAAAAATACCTCAAAAGTTGTGAGGATTAAAGGAAATAATGGAAGCAATGTATCTGGCACCTGGCCTGCACTCGAGAAACCACAGCCATCTTCACCGCTATGAAGGCAGGAGGGAGCTGGCTAGGGCCAGTGAGGCCTTTTGTTTAGAAGAACAGACGCACGCATGCGTGCACACGCATGCACACACACACACACACGCACACCGAACTAAAGCAGGACTTCTCAGCCTTGGCACTATGGACAGTCTTTGTTGTGGGGGGCTGTCTGCATTGTAGGATGCTTAGTGGCACCCTGGCCTCTACCCACTAGATGACAGTAGCACCCCTTCACCAGTTATGACAACCAAAAATGTCTCCAGACATTGTCCCATGTCCCCCGGGGGGACAAAATCCCCCTTGGTTGAGAATCACTGGTCTAAAGATTTTTCCAGGGCTAAAGTTCCATGATACCTAATTTTCTCTGTATTTTCAATTTAGATTTTCACATGTATTGTTTAGCTTTCAAAGCCTGAATTTCAGTCTGTGAAAAAACTTACAGAGAAAAAGAACACCTTTTTTGCAAAGACAAGGTAACTTCCATTGTTTATTAACAATATTATTTATCAATGGACTCTTGACTGAATTAGGATATACCCTGTACCTTGGCCAGCAGCCCAGCATCCTACCCTGGGTCTCTTCTAGCAGCCTCCCTTGTAATACACAAAACATGATGCGGGCGATCCCTGCCTGGCTTCAAGTCACGAGGTCTCCTTTAGAGCTTGCCATGACCTAAGCCTAGGGCAAGTGCACTCGTGACCGAGGCCACGACCACATCTCAGACTTGCCAGGCCCTTAAATCCTCCCACTACAAGGTACGGCAGGCCTTTTCTTGCCCTGTCAGAGGAAACATTCTGTAAGCTTGTTCCACACAGTAGTGGCAAAAATATGAGGCTTGCTGTGAAAACATTATCAGCAAATTTCCTGGAGGTGAACTCCCAGCCAGAACAAGCTGCAGCACAGGCCAGTGGTGGGGAGTCGTGCAGTTCCCACTCCTTCTCGCTGCTGGTTTCCCACCACTCACGGAGGCTGCCCTGAGGAGTAACAGAGAGAGGGCTGGAGGCTGGCCCTCTGGAGCTTATCTCCATTCTAATTTCAAGTTCAAACTTCACCCAAGCTCCCTGGGGCCCTCACAGTGGTGCCATGCATCCATGACGGTAATTACATGGGCCCAGGGGTATGGGAGTAAATTTATATATTTTAAAAAAGAATTGACAATAAGCAATTCTGCCTGACCAAAATAACTTCACCCTAGTTTTCCAGAGAGTACTGTTATAAAAATAGGTTCAGAGTCGACACACAACAGCAGGTGACACTGCCAGGCTTTGATCTGCTCAGAAGGTAAGAGTTTTCTGGAAGGCCAAATCCACAAGACTTAGTTGCTGAAGGCTGCCAGAGGAACAGGAAAGAAATTTCTAGAGCACCAGAAGGCTCCATGCCCTCCCAGAAAAGGTTAGCCTATTTCTGTATACAATATCCTTGGCAACAAAAATAGTAATTTTCCAGAACCTGCCTACTTCAACCCTGGCTCCCCCCGCCCCTTTCAGTGACAATGGAGATGGGGAAGTAAGAAGGGGATGGGTTTGGCAGAGTGTTTTCCTTTCTTGTTAATCAGGGTCTACCAACGACTCCAAAATACCTAGCTAAATCCCTATCTAACCCACAGACCGTGTCCCCTGGGTCTGATAACTTGTAGGCGGATATCCCCATACACGATTATTGAGTGCCTTTTTGTTTTAATTAAAACCCTCATTGTTTATAAAGCCCCCTTAGGACCATAAAGATAAAAATTATTTTCCTTCCATCCTGATTTGAACTACTTCCATTTGGCAAATACGTATTCCCCTGTTCCTTGCCACCCAGCCTCGAATTTATAAGCACTAAAGATGGATTTTCTTTTTTAAATAATGTCTTTGACCTTCTCCACATTCTATGGCCAAAAAGCATGAGCCCTGTGGCTTCAGAATTTCCTCTGGGCTATTCCACAAGACTTTCCATCAAAGCAAAGCTGTCTTATTAGACAATTCCCCTTCGCCGCTCAGATGCAAAGAATCTCTTGCAAACCAATCAGAAAGTGCAGCTGGGCTTTCAATACCTGAGGACAGGATGAATCTGTACTCTTCCAAGGACAGACCACTGAAGCTTGTATCTCTGGGGCGTGGGTACTGGCCACCCAGGGTGAGGGCAAGAGAGAAGGAAGAGATGATTAGTTTTGCAGCAGACTCTAAGACGTGACAATCTTTCCCACTGCAGTCCACCTGGGCTGGAGAATTGTGAGTCCAGGAATTGTGGTAAGAAGAGCAGCGCCACCTTGAGGTCAAAGACTTGGCCTCCCAAGAACCGGCACTATCTTGTTCCTTATCACTGAGAGCCCATGACTCAACTTTAATGAGTACTCCATCATCTCAGTAAATTCAGGTTCTGATTCAGGAGTTCTGGACGGGGACCGTGAATCTGCACTTTTAACCAGCACCCAGGTGATGCCCATGTGGCTGGTCTACAAACCACACTCTGAGTAGCGAGGATTTGGAACAAATCCCTTTCCCATGCAGGTTAAACGTTCAGCCTATCTGTGGAGTTACTGAGCACATTTTTCAAGCCTGGGAGAAACCTCACTAAATAGGAATTTGACAGTAACCACGTCAGGGCCTGAGGAAAAGCCCAGCTGGGCCTTCCCCAATCACTCCATCTTTATCACCTGAGTGTAGGAGAATATCAGTCCCATCAGAGTGGATGGAAAAATACAACCCCGACCTTCTGGATAACAGCTGAGTGCTTAACCACTGCACCACCAGGGCTCCTTTAAAATATGTACACAACCCAAGAGTTGTCAGTTACTTCCAGAAACACACACTAGCATATAAAATACATGGCTTTTATTCATAATTATAAATAGCTTTTATTTAAGTGGCCTAAAAGCTGCTACCAGATACCTTTGTTGGCTTGGTTGAAATTACTGGTTGTGTTTGAAAGTAACAGAACCATAATTCTTTACAAAACACTGAATAATCAGATTTTCACTTATTCTTATTGGTTGTCGGCTGGGGATATACAAGACCAGGGCCCACTCACCTTGTGTTTGTAATAGTTTGAATGGAGTCGTGCTAAGCTCTCGTACATCTGATCACAGGCCTCAGGCTCTGCAATCTGAAAAACAAAGAACCCCAAGGACGTGAGCAAAGGAGCTTGGCCCCCGCTGGCCAGAAATTCAGTGAGACATTCATCCGAGGCAGGCCCACAGCCAGCACTCCTTGGCTCTGCCCAGCTCCAGGGGAAGCAGGCTTGCCTAAGGCTCCCGCTATCAGAAAGCCCCTCTTTGGAGTAATGGCTCCGCCTCAACAGCTCTCCAACCTGGTGAAAAACTCCATCAATCAACCGGCAAACAAACATATGCCGAACACCTATGACTTATGAACCACCATGCCAGCTCCACTTGGAGACTGTAAAATAAAAATACAATATTGAAGGGCCTACCTCATACAGGTGGGCCTTGGGGAGTGCTAGAGGCAGGGTGGGCTACAATAATTCGGGGGAGGGGGTCCCCATGTGCTCAAGTGGTCAGTGCATGAAGGAAGCGAGACTAAGCTGGGCTCTAAAGGGCTCCAGGGCTTCCAGGTGAAGGGGGTCGGGGGGCCAGGCAGAGGAGGCAGGATGGTCTCTCCTCTGCTTCAGACCAGACCAGTCTGGCCAAGGGCCTGAATACAGGCAGAAAAGCCTGGGCTGGAGGAAAAGAAAGAGCTTTTTGAGTTAGATATTCAAAGTGAAATGTATTAAAGAAAGAGTCTTTTATGAAAGTTAAAAAAAAAATCTGAGCTTTCATCTATGGGAAGTGGGGAGCTGTTGAAATTTACAAGGAAAGAAAATAGTGTTTTAAGATGAAATAGGTGAACCAAGGAGAACCAAGACAGACTGCAGTACGGTTCTGCTAAAAAGAGCGAGGCCCAGACACAGAGGTGGAGGCCTTGCGAACAGAACAGGGATGGCGGTGGGGAGAAGTAGTCTGGGTGTCCCTGCTGGAAAGTCTAGGGAAGACAGGGAGCACACAGAGAAGTGGCTTTTTCTGTCATACCTTTCTTTTGAATTCCTCTCCCTCTGCCCTTGCTATTATTTATCTATAGTTCCTTATTCTGCCAAGAATTCTGAAGGCTGCCCAGAACAAAACTTTGTCTTTTATGTTTTCCCCTGAATTCAAATGATGGATTTTTCCAACTTAAATCCTTTCTCGAAGAGGGCGGAGCATAAATAAACCAGTAGTTAAACGTTTTAATAAGGCAGATCCGCTTCTGCCTGTATGTGGGTGTCAAATGAGGTCCCCACTTTACAGCAAACAAAAAAGACCATCTGTCATTTAGCTCTACTTGATCCATCCCCACATTCAGGCCACTCATCCTGAGAATGCCCAGGTAGCCACATCAGAGGAGAAAGGATTATGGGCTGAGGAGGTAGCCATTGTTCACTAAATAATAATCAAAGGCGTTATTTGAGTGGACTGGGGCTAAGACTGACTAGAAAGAGCAGATGGAAAAATGTGAGGCTGGCGGTTGAGTTCTGACTCCCAGGTGGTCAGCTCTTCCAGGGAAAGTCCAGCTGGAACCGAGTTCTGCAGCACACACTGTGGAGCAAAGCATTTGAACATTATCTTTTCAGCACGGCATGCATAGCCAAGAACTAACAAGAGAACAGAATGTATATGACACAAAGGGGAAACGAGAATAACGCTGGTACAGAGTTTGAAAGAATATTATTTAGATTATCAAAAGATAGTTGTGCATTTCATCTTTTGTTTGCTCTCTTCACACTTGTGCAGATCTGTTCACTTATAAATTTAAAAGACATTCATTGAAGAACCTCGTGCATTGCTGGTGGGAGTGTAAAATGGTGCAGCCACTATGGAAAACAATTTGGTGGTTCCTCAAAAAATTACCACATGATCCAGCAATCCCACTTGTAGGTATGAATCCAAAGACGTGAAGGCAGGGACTCAGACACTTGTACCTTGATGTTCACTGCAGCACTGTGCACAAGTGCCAAAAGGTGGAAACAAACCAAGTTGTTCATTAACAGATGAATGGATGAGTAAAATGTGTTCTATCCATACAACGGAATACAGGCAGTCCCTGGATTACGAACTAGTTCCGTTTCTAAGTCTGTCTTTAAGTCGAATTTGTACTTAAGACGGAATAGTTAGGTATGGTTCATATCTAACATCAGTTAGTCAAACGTTTATCTCAGTATATAGTATATAGTCTATCATTCTATGCATAAAAACATTAAAGAAACACTTCCAGATACATGAAAACATCTTTAACATAATAATACGGTAATAATATTTTGGTATGTGTTGCAAAGTAGCATCCATTTGTTATTATGAATCATTGTATGTATCTCGAATTTTTAATATAACAGGCTTTACCGGGGTTGGTTGTAACTATGGGTTGTATGTAAGCTGGATGTTCATAACCTGGGGACTGCCAGTATTATTCAGCCATAAAGAGAAATGAAATTCTGATACACGCTATGCCATGGATGAGCCTTGAAAACATCATGCTGACTGAAAAAAGCTGGACACAAAAGGACAAATATCGTACGATCCCACTTATATAAGGTGTCTAGAATAGACAAATTCACAGAAAGTAGAATAGAGGTTACCAGGGGCTGGAGGAGCAGGAAAGGGGAGTTATTGCTTAGTAGGTACAGAGTTTCTGTTTGGGGTGACAAAAAAGTTCTGGAAAGAGATACTAGTGATGATGCTTACACAACATTGTGAATGCACTTAATACCACTGAACAGTACATTTTAAAATGGTTAAAATGATAAATTTTATGTTATATATAGTTTACCAAAAAAAAAAAGACATTCATTGAGACCTACATGTGCTTGACCCTATTTATGAGCTGAGGACGCTAAGGAATAAGCATCTCCATGGCTGGAGACAGCACGGAGTCAAACTGCCTGGGTTCAAATCTTGATACCATCACTTATTAGCTATGGGATGTTGGGCAAATCACTTGATCCCCCATCTTTTTTTCCTATTGTTGTAAAAAATATATCTAACACAATATTTGCAAATCCAACATGTTTTACACGTACAATTCAGTGACACCAATTACATTAACTATGTTGTGCAACCATCACCGGTATCTGCTGCCAAGCATTCCGTCACCATAAAAAGATACTCAATGCTTCCTAACCACCCTCCCACTTTAAAAAACATGTTACATTTATCATTCTGTTGTTGTTAGTTGCCATTGGGTGGATATCCTTTTCTAGCTCTATCTCTATACATGTCTTTCTTCTGATCCATTTGAGGGTTAAGTTGGAGCATAATGCCCTTTCCACCCCATAATGTTTCGGTGTGTATTTCCTAAGGACACGAACATTCTCTTATGTAACCACCATTCCATGATCAAATTCAGGGCATCTAACATTGATACAATACTATTAGCTAATCCATTGTTCATACTCCAATTTTGTCAATTGTCTCAGTAATAATCTTTACAGAAAACAAGTAATTCCATCCAACATCACCCACTGCACTTAGTTGTCATGTGTCTTTAGTCTCCTTTAATCTGGGTCAGTTCCTGGGCCTTGCTTTGTCTTTCATGCATGACAGTTTTGAAGACTACTGACCGACTTAAACTTTCCTTTAAAAGAGAAGATAATTATAGTCCCTAATTCCGAGGGTGGTGTGAGGATAGAGGAGGTAATGACTGACTCCTCTGAATTTTGGTCTGATACGGCACTGATAAATGTGAGTTAGTTTTCGTTAGGATTATTATTAGTAGTAGTAATGCTGGTAGTCATGGTAGTAAACACAGGTCCAACTCTCCAGCTTATAAACTAAAAGAGAAAGGAAGCAGAACAGGTCACAACCATTCTGGTGATAAGTGCAGTGAAAGAAGTATGTCCAGGGTGCCGTGGGGCAGGTGGAGGTGGGCACCTGACCCTGCCTGGGGAGCCAGGGAAGAACTGCTGGATGGAGAGCCACCAAGAAGGAAGTGGGGGGCACTCTGGACACAAGGACCAGCTTAAGCACATGCCCAGGGAATGGTGGTGAGGACATTATCAGTGGATCAGTGTTGCTGGTGTGCACCTGACTAGACTTCCATATCTGTCCCTCACGGCTCTCTGCGATCACTGAGTACTCTGTGGTCTGCCTTTGGTAGAATACTGCCAGGCAGCAGGCAAGCAGATGTCTACCACACTGCTCTTTACCTAATGACCACTCACCTGTCACCTGGACCTTCCCCTCCCACCACTATTCCCACCATCTCTTCCTTTTCTCAGCCAAGTTCTAAGGAAAGGAGTTTATGCCACCGACTTGCCTTCCTCCAGGTGCCTCTATCCCGGGCTCCACACACTGCTGTCACCAAGATAACGCTTGGGAAAGTCTTCCGATCAAACCCACATCCTGGCCAGATCCTCGCCCTCAGAAATCTTGCCAATCAAAGTTCCCCTCTTGCGTCTCCTCCAACTTCTCTAACAGTGAGAATCTGCCACAGGTCTGCTCAGCTACCTCTTACCACAACCTCAAGTGGATGAGAAGGGTGTCATTCTTCCTTCCCATCTTTTCCTGTCTCTGACAGGGCAGCTGGGCAGAGAGGAGGGGCACAGAGGGAGGACAGGGTCACCCTTGCAGAACATTTTTGGTGTGAGTTGTCACAGGGTCCAAGTAAAAAAAACTGTGGCCCTCTGGGTTCCTTTAACCTCTTAAAATTTCCAGTGTTAAAGAGATAGTCTCTTGGATATTTTACATAATACCTGGAGCTCAATTAATAATGTAAGAGGGAACCAAACACCTATAAGTCCTAAAAATGGACTCATCTAATTTCCCATTTGAAGTCAGGAAGGTGTCTATATGAGGCTATAAAAGTAGCTTAGTAGAGGTGATGGGAGTTTGAAGTCTGCCAACTTTCTAGCCAAGTTCTTACAACCTAAGGAGACGGCGCCATGGCCAATTCTGGGTTCAAGGGGGCAGTGGTAGTCAATGGTAGAATTCTCACCTTCCATGCAGGAGACCTAATTTAGTTCAATTCTCAGGCAATGCACCTCATGAGCAGCCACCACACAATTCTCAGGCAATGCACTCCACGTGTAGCCACCACCCATCTGTCAGTGGAGGCTTGCATGTTACTATGATGCTGAAT